CCCCACAGCAGATGTTAGTTTTGGATTGTTGGTCTACTATACTCGGGTTTCCCTTCCCTCCTCCTGCATGCACCCATCACTTCTTCCAGGGTGAAGTGCTGAAGAAAAATCACTTTATGAATTCTAAAGGTTGACTGTTTCCTTGAAACACAATAGAAATTTCCAGTAGATGTCAAAGATAACTGCCACTAGCCAGAGGTGGCTAATGAAGTTAAATTCTAGATTCAGTATCATAGTCATGTGACCTATATTACATGTGCTCAGTAGCCACTGTGCATATGTACACGTCTGTTCCCACAGAAAGTTGTTGGATGGTGCTGTTAGACATTTTTATCTAGTCATTAGTGCAACATTAGGACATCTCTGAAGTTGTAATACATAAACTAGATTTTTTTCCTTTAGATCCAAAATGCATAAGGAGCCAGTAGCCTTTTAGCCTTTTAATGTAAAGCTTAACTTTAAAGGCTTATCCAATGAAACATTGTTTTTCCACAACCCCTACCATATCTTCTTCAATTCAAATCTAACTGGGACTCACTCAGAGTGTTCTTCTGAGGGGGGAAAGCAACAGAACTCAAGCCAAATACAATCTGACACTTCATTCCACACAGCTCAGCCCTCTATATCTGAACAGTTAAAATTCAGTCTTTTATTTTGATCTTTAAAGTTCTTCTAATTTTAAATTTTAATTCCCTCCCCCACCAGTGTGTTAACATCATCTTTCCTGTATTGCGAATAGCTAATGACCATTTTTCTCTGTTGCAGGTGAATGCACAATATTTGCAGCTGTTCGTGATTTAATGGCTAATCTTACACTGCCCCCTGGTGGGCGTCCATAGACACTATTGTTTTTAAACCAGGAAGGCTGACAAATGAGACAAAACAACAAAAAAAGTCTGAATTCAGCCTTCAGTTTAAAAAAGGAAAAGGACTTTTTTGACTTTAAGAGCTAACTATTCTAAACTGGCAAAAATTTTCAGGGTGCACTTCTTTCATCAAAAATATCATCAATCTTTTGTATAGTGAACTTGTATAGTGTGTTTAAATGGGACACGTTTCAAACTAGGTAATTTATCAGTGTCCACTTGCCAGTAATAGAGTTAATATTCTGTTTTATACTATAAAGTTATGAAAATGCCAAACTTGTTTATTTAATTGTTTTCTTATGTTTTGGGTGTAATAGTCCTTTTTTATTTTTGTTTTGTTTTTTAAGGCAGGTCTGTCATTTTTGAATACTGTAAAACTGTGATAAACTTTATATTGAAGCTGTATTTTAATATGACCGCTTTGAATCCTTACATGAAAATGTTCTGGGAGTTGTTATAAACACATCCCAAAGAAGCAATATTTAATAAAACTAGGTTAAAAAATGACACTCACTGTGTGTGTATAAGCTCTCTAGACTACTTAGGGCCTCCCTCCATCTTTAACCTGGGGGGTCCAATAATTAATCTGAATTTTGACCAGAAACCTCCTGTTTGTTTCAAGCTAATTTATCTTCTTCAAACATTTATAACTGGACTGATAGTAACATTTAGCACCTTGATTGTCTTTCAGCCTAGGATTTGGGTACAAAATAAATCTAGACCAGTGGTGGAGAACCTTTTATAGCCTGCAGTGATACAAACAGCCCGCTGCAGCACATGTGCCATAGGTTTACCACCACTGATCTACTAGTCTTTGAGAAGAGAAAGCAAGTGATTCATACTAAAACGATCCCAAATAATGCAACCATTCTCATCTGCTGAGGATGTGGGAACTTTCCTGCTAGGCACATTTTATTCACAGGATACTTTTGCATACAGTATTAACTAGGACACAAAGAACTTTAGAGTTCTACTCTTGCCTGAAGTTTCCGTGCCATTTCTTTACCTCACTTCACTTTTCCTTACCTTCCCCAACAAAACTGAAGTTACTCAATCAATCTGAATTTAATTTGTTGTCAACAAAATGATAGAATGGTTTATTTGGAAGCAACCTGGTCTAGTCATTTTGAAGAGTCCAAGATTCAGGCCTGCCCAGGGTCTAGTGGAATATCAGGTACTGACACATCTCAGCAGGGTTTCTTCTTGGAGCACTGTACTGTTTCTCCCAGTCAGGGACTTTTGAGCTTCATAAAACAATCTGAAGCAAAGATCTTCTGGTGACTTGATGTTATTTGGAAAAGGTTTTAAAATGATATACCATTCTGAGTTATCTGCACACTGTAAAAGTAGTTCACCATTAAATTATAGATGTTTTGTCAGATTCCACTTTAAGATAATTTAATTTCTATAACCACCAAATTTTAGTTTCAAGCATCTCACTGCAACAGTGTATCTGTTCTCAACTTCGCTTGATTCTCCATTCACATCTGGTCAGAGGTGAGGCCTTGTCTTTCTTCTGTCTTATTTCTGCCTTCATCTCCTGCTTCTCACCCAACTCTGTTGCTAGTCAGGAACAGGTTTACCCTTCCTGTAGCTTACCTGTTTATCCTTCTGTTTTCAGTCTCCTTATTGTGGTACTTGCATCAGTTTGGCAGTTTACAACGTCTTTATACAAGGGCCAGCCCTTTTGTGTTTGGTGCTGAATCTTTTCTTTCATGTAGAAATCTACATGTCATATACAAGAAGAGTTTTTATGGGCAGAATAATATTGTTTCAAATAATTTTATAAACAGACTTTCCAGGTATTACTCCTTTTAAGTGTGGTTTTAAAATGTTAATTGCACTTTTATACATAATGCATTCATTTGGGCACTTTTTGCTAATTATAACTCATCTTTGAATGCATTGTGCAAATCAGAATAGCGATCTGAACAATTTGCTTTTGGTGTTTATTAAGAGTAAGCCCATAAATTTGAATTTTGATATCATGCTTGGTACTTAGAAGTGACACATACTTTTATTAGAGCTTGAGAACTTTAGAATTTGAATTGTGAGTTTCATCACAAATCATATATGTTGCCTCTTTTGTTACCTAAGTTCAATCAAGGGGACTGGATGCCCATAGTGATTTCCCTCAATAGGTGGTTTGGGACTTAAGTGTTAGGTGTTTTCAGTGTGATTTTAGTATTTACAGTAATGAATAAATTTTATACACGTTTCAGAGAACTACCAACTTTCTCTAGTTAATTTTGATGAAGATGTTTTGGACTGTAGTCTGGTTTAGCATTAGTTTAGCCTCAAGAAACTGGTCTTGATGGCCAACTTTTTCCTGTCTGCTGAAATGCTGTTTTAAAACATAAGGAAATGCTTTTAGAGTTAGGAAGGAAAGAGAAAACTTAACAGAATATACCAAGTTATTGGTGGTAGGAGCCGAACCTTACATTTGAAAATGGAGTGAGCTGTGCAAAAGCATAAACTGAAATATGCATGATTTTGAATTTAAATACCACTAACAACTGTCGCAACTAACACAGTGACTTGTGCACCTGCAAAATGCTAACAGTCATTCTCTGGACTGGTCAAACTGGTAACTTCAAGAAGTGACTTAGAATTTTGCCACTCTGAATTCTGATACAATTTCAACATAAAAGCTGTTCTTTAATGTTTGTTGTTTCCCCAAAGAAATACCTATTACACATTTTTAAAGAGGTGAGGTCTTGCTGTGTTGCCCAGGCTCACCTTGAGCCCCTGGGCTCAAGCAATCCTCCTACCTCAGTTTCTCAAGGAGCTGGAACTACAGGTGCATGCCACTGCTCCAGGCTTCAGGTGTTCTTGATAGGATATTAATCTACTGAAAATTTTAAGAGAACTTAAAATTGAAGGAATAGAAAAGAATAATGTTAATGTAGGGTCATTGTTTCCTGTGGAGTTTTTCATTTGATTTGATGGAATGGACAGGGTGTCAAAGGTTATGATTTGAATTCCCGTAGGATGGATTGCATTGAAGGTTTAAACGTAAAGAGTAGGGGAAGCCAGCCTGCTCTGCCACACATCTCCAAGAGCACAAGGTCTTACAATTTTCTATGAATTGTCTCCACTTCCAAGTGGTCAATGATTTATTCAGATATCTTGCCCAATAATTTAAGTGATGAAATTATTTTATCTAGATCAATGTAAAATTATAGCTGTTTATCCAGAGCCTGCTATGTGACAGGCACTGCTTCAAGCATTTACAAGGTTGTAGTTAATGCCCCCAAGCATCTCCAGGTAAGTATGAATGTCCTCTTATGGATGATCATTAGAGGCCCAAAGGATGTGAAGCAATTTGTTTAGGATGAAGTTAGGATTGCTGAAAAACAAATTACTAAGAGGCAGCTCGAGTCCAGAGCTACTGCTTCAGAACCCTTAGTTCTGTATGTTGGAGAAGGCGTTAGTGTTTACACTGTTTTTTCAAAACCATGTAACTACACAAATTTTCCAAACACAAGAAATTCACTAAAAGCTAAAACTGACACAACTTCTGTGTCATTTGGAGTTGACAATCTAATACCCTAGTGACTCTTGGAGTTTCAAATCATACTGCCTTGTGCAGTCTAAATAATTACCCTCTGACCTTTCCCCCATGCTTTGGGACGCACTTAGCTGGCTTGGGACTGCCCTCCAGAACTCAGCACCTTGCTCTGTGCCTCAGCCTGGCAATCAGCGGCCACGTTTCACTAATGCCTAAATTTGCTCCAGCCAGTCTGCGGACTTAAAAACGCGGTAACTGTCTTCAGGATTGCATAATGCAAGGCGTATACATAACTCAAGAAATATTCCTTGAGCACTTTCTGTGTCTTTACAGATTATCAGCAGTCCCTACATCTGGAGAGGGAGTTTGAGGGGCGGGGGCGGCGGGGTTTGGATCTCAGTTTCGGGGCCATGCGTGGGACATAAAACTTTCAGGCTGAGGTTGCCTGGGGAAGCACCAAAGTACTTCGCACAGCTACCACGTACAATGGAGTGGCCTTGGCATAGCGCGGAAACGAAACCGCCCGGCCCCTGGGTTCTGTACCACGGCTTTCGCAACCTCAGGCCTGCGCAGTGAGGGCCTCTGGGCGGGGCCGCGCCTGCGCCTCGGGTAGCGCCCAGGCTCCAGCGCCTGCGTACTGCCGTCCTCCCCGCCCCCCTCTCCGGCCTAGTGGAAAATGGTGCTGTCAGAACTGGCGCTGCGCCTAAACTGCGCCGAATACAAGAACTGGGTGAAGGCAGGACAGTGCCTGCTGCTGCTGCGTAGCTGCCTGCAGGGTTTCGTTAGCCGCGAGGTGCTCTCCTTCCACCGCAGCCTGCTCGCCGCAACCCCCGCCTTGGGCCCTCGCGCCACCTGCCGCGGCGGTTCACGGTGCACCCCGCGCGCTCGCCAGGTGAGCACCTGGCCGGGGGCCTTGACCGCCGCCCCTACCTTATCCCGTCCCTTTCCTGGAGCGCAGAGCGTCCCGTTCTCTTTGCGGGGCGGGGTCAAACATGAAGCCTCGAGGTCAGGTTCCCAGATGCCGCCCTCCCTCCGGAGCGGCGGGGGTGGGGGGGCTTTCACCGCCGCCCCCTGTAGTTTCAGCCTCAGTGTCAGGTGTGCGCGGAGTGGAAGCGGGAGATTTTGAGACATCACGTCAATAGAAATGGAGACGTGCATTGGGGAAACTGCCGGCCAGGCCTCTGGCCCAGCGACGCCTGGGAGGTGGCCAAGGTAAGCACCTGTAGCCTGCGGGAAGGAGGGCGCGGTGGGTGCAGTGCCGGGGAGCCGCTAGTGGTTCCTGTAGAAGCCTGGGCCTCCAAAGAGAGGTGCACAGATTGGCTGGTCTATCTGGGGAAAAGTGTCTAGACAGCTAGAGTCTATTAGAGTGGACCCGATCCAGCTTAGTGAAATAGAAGTATTTCAGTTTGCAGCCCCTGCTTGGGAAACTATTAAATAAATTTCAGCAGTAAGTGCTGGGTGGGACAGGATGTAGAGTGAACGGGGCATAGAAAGAGAGCTATAAGTCGTGTTTGACGTTGGGCTCATTTGGGATACAGGGTGTCATGAGGATGACAGAGGAGGCCGAGGGAAGTTAAGGTAAAATAGGAAGAACCTAAATTGTTCAGCTAAAGAATAAAACTTTGAGACAGTGGAGGTAAGGTAAGTAATCAGATGGAAACTGTTAGACCAATCTTCACCTCTTGGCAGTGTGACTTACTCTGGATTTATTGGCCAAGTGTTTTGACTTACTGGTGTTTGCCAGAAGCCCTACAGTGGGAGGAGCGGGAAGTGAGAAGTAGCTTCCTAACACAAAGTAACTTTTGGAGTCAGTATTAGCTGGGGTAGCACCTAGGAAGGAGGTGATGTTGGGCCAGCCTCTGTTCCCTAACTTCAAAAATGAGGCAAATGAACTGTGTCTGACTTAGCTGTCATGGAACAGTAAAGCCACCACACCTACATCCTTCTCCACATTTTTTTAAATTGCCACCATAGAGTTGTCAAGAGAAAGCTTTTCAAGAAACAAGACTACCCTTTATTGTGACTACCCCTCACCTATTTGTTCTCTGTTGCTGTTTTCACAGCCCTGGGATCCCTTTGAAGCTGGTGCCACCTGCTTGTGCCACTCTTTACTCCTTTTTGGATGTTTTTGAGGCAGAGAGAGTTGAGGCTGATCCTTCTGCCTCAGTCTCCCAAGTGATGGGATTGGAGAGATGTGCCACCACAGTGGTCTTCTCTTTGTTGCTGGCTACCTGCAGACTGAGTCCAGTCCAATTCTCTTACTTCCTGGGTTTGCTTTTCTAACAACCTAGGTCCACTGTACTCTCCTGTAGGTCCACACTCTGGAGCTTGTGGGCACAGGAAATCTCATTGGTCAACATCCTACCTACCTTTGGCATGCTTACTCAGACACTTCTGGCACCACCCTTTGTCCCTGTACTGTGATCTTTCAGACTTTTGCTGTGCTCGCTATTCTCAGTAGTCCTGTCTTCCAGCCTGCCTTTGTCTTGCCAGCAGCCCCACCCAGTTCCCACTGTCCAGCATTATAATCAGCCCCTTGTGGTTAGCCTGGTCTTTTTCTCCTTTCTCTGAACTTGCCTGACCCAACTCCAGCCCTAATGATACCGTCATCTGCTTCTGCTCAGACAAGAATTTCACAAAAGAGCCGACTGGTTTCGATTTGTTGGGCCACGCCTCTCTCTTGGCTCAGGTTCCCAGCTTTCCTCACCCAGCTCCCGTTCCCATTCCTCCACCCTCGCCGCACTGCACACGTGGCTCAGGCTTACTGGAGTGGATGAATGCCCCCAAACACAGACTTCCTTGTCATTTTGCCACACCTACCAGCTTATGCACAGTCCCTGCTGTAAAAAAAGGGAAGAGGGCATCTCCTCTCACTGCACTGTCCTAGTTCTTGGATGTTAAGTCACATCCCCTCCCGCCTGCCCAAGGAAGTCTTCAGTCGTCTTTCTCTCTCCCAGCTTGTTCTCATTCCCAGATAAAAAGCTCAAATCTCACCTTGGTTTATTAATTTAAAAAAGAAAAGTGGTAGTGCACACCTGGAATCCCAACACTCTGGAAGTCTGAGGCAAGAGGATCACAAGTTCAAAGCCAACCTGGGCAATTTAGGACTTAAAGCAAGACCCTGTTTCAGGGCTGGGGATTTAGCTCATGGCACAGCGCCTGTCTGGCAAGCACAAGGTCCTGAGTTTGATTCCCGTTACCAAAAAAATAAAAATAAAAGTAAATAAAAAGAAGGCCTTGTCTCAAAGAGGGTAGGGTAGGTGTGGATAGGGTGGGGTGGGTGGGGGTGAGGGTGGGGCTGTAGCTCAGTGAGAAGGCTCTGAGTTCAAACACCAGTACTGACAGAAAATTTAAAAAAAAAAGGATCAAGCAGCATTACCATATAACCCCGCAGTTTTAGGTACATACCTAAGGGATATGAAAGCAAATATCCACACAAAAACATGTCCACAAATGTTCTATACAGCACAATTCCCAGTAGCCACAAGCTAGAAATAACTCAGATGTCTACCAGCTGATGAAAGAACAAACCATACAATGGAATATAATTTTGCCATAAAGAGAAATGAAGCGCCGATACTTGTTACGATGCGAATGAATCCTGACAACATTATGCCAGGTGAAAGGAGCTAGTCATATATTGTGAGATTCTATTCATGTATGTAGTCTGCTGTGTGACTCATTCATCCAGAATAGGCACTTCTATAGAAGACAGAAACAGATGAATGGTTGCCAGGGCCTGGAGTATTATGGGAGTAATAGCTAATAGATAATGGGGTTTCCTTTGGGGGTTATGAAAATGTTCTAAAATGACTGTAGTGATAGTTGTACAATTCTGTGACTAAAAACCACTGAATTGTGCACTTTAAATGGGTACATTATGTCAATAAGCTGTTTTAAAAAGTTCTCCAATAAATACTTAGAAAATAAGATTTAGGGAAAAAATACAGCTTCCCTTTGGTCTGCTCTCGCCAGTTGCCTCCCTGTTTCGCTGTCTGCCTCTCTGTATGCTCAGCAGAGCTGCTCTGGAAGAGGACTGGGCCCTGTTCTCTTTCCCTTGGCTTCCGATACTCCGCAGCTTACCCCCACCCCACCTCTGCCCTGCCACTCCACCGCCTTGGTGACCTTTGCCGGCCTCATTTTTCTTACCTCTCAGGTTGGCTGAGTTGCTCGGTCACTCTTCTTGAAACACTTTGGCTTTGTGACTTCTTGTCTCATGCCTCTCCTCCAATCTCTCCAGGACTTTCTTAGCCTTCCTTGGATTCCTGGGCTGGGTCTCTCCTACTGCTTTCTTCCCTGTTATTTTTCCCAAGCCTGTGGAGTTAAATGCTGCCTTTGTGCCGACAGCCACCAAATATGTGTCCCAAGTCCTGCCCTTTCTTCCGGACTCCAGATGCATGTATCCACCTGCTTCCCTGACCCTTCCACTTCATTGCCTCACCGGGACTTGGTATTTAGTCCTACAGTGTCTAAAGTGGGCCCCCCACCCAACCCCCATTCCCACCACGAACTTTTCAGATTAGAGCCATCCTCATTTTCTGTCTTTTCCACTCACTACCCCGTTCTGCCCCCATTTGTACTTGCAAAGCATTTTTGGATTCTTCCTCTTTATCATCTACATGTCACACCCCTCACAATCCTACCTGGACTCTGCCTCTGTTCCCTGCCTGCCACCGCTGCTGCTCCAGGTTCCTCTGGTTGATTCCCCAACACAGCAGCGTATGTCCTCTGCAAATGGGAATCCTGTCGGTTCATGCCCGTGCCTTCATGGCTTCCTGAGACCTTGGAATAAACTTCCTTCCTGAGCTGGTGAGGCCCACCATGATCTGGCCCCTGTGAATTTCTCCCACTTCATGCCCTACTCAGTGAAGGGACAGCAGAGGGTTGGCAGTGATAGTAGCACCTGTTTCTTACCACTGTGCACTCACCAGAGGGGACATGGTGGCACACAGTATAATTTTTAATTTTTTAAGAGGCATAAAGGAATTAGGCAGAATTTTAAAAGCATACTCACAAAAAACTAGAGTGTGGGCCTTCAAAAGGGAGAAAGAGGCACCTCAGGGCTGGGAGCTGAGAATACTTGTGTTTTTAGACAGTAAAAACTGAAATTTTTAACTTTAGAGTCACATATATTGGGCTTGGTTTCATATATGAAAAAAGTGACAGTACACCCACAGGTAGGAAGATAACTCATTTTACAGAAGGGCAACAGATTCAGAGAATTCAAAGAATGTTTTAGGCCAAACAGATCATGCGGTATACTTTTTAAGAAGCTGCTTTCACTGCAAGGAGGCAGTAGAGCCTCACTATTGGCTTCCAGTTCTGAAAGGGAATAATTATGAAAGTAAAACTGTCATTTGGAAGACACTGGTTCCTATCTGTGAGAAAATGCCAAACAGGACACGCTTTATAATGCAAAAGGAAACACAGCCGGCTCAGAGCAAACTAAGGTTCCCTCTTTCCTATCTTCCTCTCAGCAGCAGCTGAATTAAAGTTTCTTCCATTTCATTGCCTTAGTTTGTCTGTGATAAGTAAATTGGCTGCTTTGTTTCCTTTGCAGCATCCATAATAGACTTTTGGAGTGCTCCTGTCACTGGCTATTAAGGCATGAAAAGATAGTACTGGCTACTGTACCTTTTGTAGGAGCAATTTAATGCACACAAAACCCTTAACTACATGCGGCTCAGGTGTCTGATTTCCCCACCATAAGAAAGATAATCGCAGTGACCTCTGGGGTGCATTGGCAGACAGCACCAGCATTTTCAGAATACCAGTGCCAGCAGCACTGTAGGAGGCAGCAGAGTTGCCTGCATAGTGAAATGCATTTGTTTTCAGTGCAACAGATCTCTTAGTTAATGTTCTTATTGAGAGTCATTTTTCATGTGTCATCTGTTCCTTTCCCTTGGCAAGAATGTACCCTTGAGACTCCTTGCCGGGTAAAATTGTGTCAAGATGTAAGCTTGGAAACATTTCAGGAAAGAAATATGCCCAAGTCTTGCTATAACACCATTTTTGTGGCCCAGGCCATAAAATCCTGCTAAAAGCAAGATTGTGTTAAAATGTATCTCAAATCCCAGGATTCCCTCTGCATCTCCTATGTAGGTCCCGCTCACACCATTGACACCACTATTGCCAGCATGTGCCAGCGAGTAGCGTGTGCCAGGCACTGTACTCATGCCCTACCTACATTCACTTACTGAATTCTCACCATAGCCTTCAAAGTGTTATCCATTTACTGATGAGGAGCCTGAGGAGAAGCAGCTTCCCTAGGGTCACACAGCTGACAGGTGGCTAAGTTGGCAGTTGGATTTAGCCCTGTCACACTGTAAAACCCAAATTCTTAATGGTACCATACTATACTTTCTCAGGTCACTTAGAAAGCATCCAGTTTGGAGTAACTATTATTTTTAAATCTTCTTAACAACTTAGCCACTGAAATATCAGTAGGAAAAAGAACCTTCTTTTTGCTTACATACCATTAAAACAGGACAGGAAACCAATTATTTCCCCAATTGTATTTTGAACTTATGAGGCTCTCACTTGAAACCTTAGAGTATAAAAGCATTTCAAGTCATCATTTGAGAAACAGGCAATTAACTGCTTCTCTGCCTCCTAAAGCTGGAGGAGACTTAGGTGCCCCGTACCATCCCCTACTACAGGCCTTCATGCCCCGAGGACTGACAGACAAACGAGGACCTGAGGAATGTGATGCAGTTGCTCTTTTAAGTTTTATCAACTCCTGTGATCACTTCATGGTTGATCGAAAGAAAGTCATAGAGGTAAGAGCTATCAGATTCAAAATCAAACACTGAGTCAGTTAGGTCGGTACTGGGAAGGCCAGCAGTGAGAGACACCCTGTGACGCTAAGCCAGCTACGTGGGCATAATATAGCAGTCCCCAGAACAGCAATGTGCAAAGAAAGTTAGGCTTAGGTCCAACGCTGGCATCATTGGGCAGGCTCATGCCATGAGCACCTACAGTGATATCCAAGTGCCCAGTGCACATGCAGTCAAGAGCTATCCATTTAGTTCTTCCTAAGTAAAGTTTCTTGGCAACTTGTTGCAAGAGCTATATGTTTAGTTCTTTCTAAAGTTTCTTGGTAACCTCTTACCGTGCCATTTGCCATTGAAATATATGAAACTTGGATTTCTCTTCCCTATCTGCCATAAACAGAAGCAAAAATATTCTGTTACTTTACATATGGCTGGGCATGTAGCTCAGCGGTAGTGCTTGTCTATTATGCATGAAGCCCTGGGTTCCATGTCCAGCACCAGAAAAAACAACAGAATGCACCGTCCTTTCCATTGTGTGCCACAGAATCCTGCTCTTCCAAATCTCAGTGGCTAGTGATTACAAGACCAGATGATATAGAACTGAAGAAAATATTAATACTGATGGATAACATTGTCAGAACAGTTCACTATGCTTGTGAGATATTTTGGGAGATTTAGATTTTTCTCTAGTCCATCAGAGAACAACTCATAAATTAATACTTTGATGGTCATTGCAGCATCCCTGGATTATTTATAATATGTAGAGAAAATGCTGTGTATTTGCCAGTGTGGCAGTAGCTGGAAGCATTAAAAAATCCTTCACCTCACAGAGCCAGAGACCTATCACAGTGGTTGACCCGGTTTGATCTCTGTCAGCCAAGAATGTGGATGACTATGTAAATTGTATAATAATATATGATAGTACCATTTTTCTTAAAATGTAGACAAAAGTTGACTTTCTTTTCTTTGTGGTTTCCACATCAGAAAACTCCCTTGACCCAACTTCCTGGCATTCCAACAATATCTAAAAAATTTTTGTATTGTCTGCTTCAGCCTGCGGGTGTATCCAGAGCCAATATGTGTGCTCTTTGACAGGCTGTTTTCAGTTAGGAGATTTGGAAAAATGTGAAATAGCCTGCCATATGCAAGAGTTTAAGGGCTACAGAGGGTTGCAGACTTATTTATATTTCTTTCTGTCTTAGTTACTAATCACTGGTACAAAATAGCCAACTTATCTCCCACAACTTAAAGAAGAGAGGCTTATTTGGGCTCACGGTTTTAGAAGTCTCTGTCCATAGTTGTCCATAGCTGGCTCCAAAGCAGAAACACCATGGCAGAGGGCACAGCAGAGGAAAAGAAGCTTGCATTATGGTGGCCAGGAAGCAGAGAGAAGGGAGAAGTCAGTGAGGGAGAAATACCCTTCCAGGTCACGCCTCCAGTGACCCGCCTCTAACCTGGCTCCACCTCCAACAGTAGCTCAGCTATTGAACTCATTAGAAGATGAATCTAGGGATGAGTGCAGTATGGCACCCCTTGATCCAGTCACTTCCAAAAGCACCTCTGACAGAGTTTTGGAGGGACATTCTAGATCTAAACCATAACACTCTGGTTAATGTATTACTCACGTGGCAGGGGGTTGAACATTGCTGCAAGCGTTGACCATTTTATAGGCACCTACAGGTCACATCAGAAACTTGTGGATTATTTGGAAACTTGCTCCAACAGCATAGGAAGGGGAAAAGGCTGAACCACTGATCTTTGCCTGATTTTTATCTTTTTGTTCCAGGAGTCTTATGACCAAAATCTGGCTTGTAGTCATGTTTTATTTGTCCTGCTTGGCTTTTAAAATTTTTGAGGTGAGCATGGCAGCATATGCCATAACCCTGGCTATTCAGGAGGCTGAGGAGGAGGAGGAGCACAAGTTTAAGGCCAACCAGGGTAACTTCGCAAGACCCTCTGAAAGTAAAAATTAAAAAGGGCTGGCAGTGTAGTTAGTGATAAAGTGCTTCCCTAACATGTGTGAAACCCTGCCTTCAGTCCCCAGTACTGCAAAAAACAAAGCAAACAGCAATTTCAAAAAAACCCTACATTTAAAAAAAATCTGAACTTTGAAATTCCCTTGAAAAAAATTAGAAGACCTGGTGACATTGGGCTCATGTACTTCCCATGTAAAGAGATCATCCATTTATAGAGCCCACTCCTTTAGACAGGGTAACCACTCTCTAGTTTGTCCCAACTGGGGCCAGCTTCACTCAGGTTATGCCTGCCCATCAGAGACATTTTAGATGTGACCCAAGGAGGACTTTACTTTTTGATGTATGCTCTTGCACAAGTTGAAATGAAATACAGATCCGACTTGGGGACTGCAGAGCTCACTGTCCTCTGTACAGATCGGAGCATGTGCCAGGTTATGTATACGGTTCCAAGGAAGATCTGCCCCTTCTCATCTGATGACCACACTTGCTGATTTTTTAATTAGCAAAGCTTTTCTGCAGTTTTTCTGTGGAGCTATAAGATCTGTTTACCCTGTTGACTTTGAAGTCTTTTATCTTATCTTTCTCTAGGTGATTAAGTGCCGTAATGAGATCATGCACTCTTCAGAAATGAAAGTATCATCTACATGGCTTCAGGATTTTCAGATGAAGATCCAAAATTTTCTGAATGAATTCAAGAATATCCCAGAGATTGTGGCAATATATTCTAGAATAGAACAGGTAAGAGTCATATTTAGCAGTTCTGGCATACAGAAGTAAGGGTTCAAAAATAACCACTCACTTAGGATTTGACATTTATTAAATTTAAACTAAATTTTGTTTTATTTTTTGTGGCACTGGGGAAGGAACCTAGGACCTTGTGAATGCTAGGCAAGCGCTCTACCACTGAGCTCCATCCCTGGCCCAAAACTGAATTTTAGAATGTAAGCAGAGGAAAGGGTAAGTGACGGCAGTGGGCTGAGGGTGCAGGTCAGTGATAGGGTACTTGTCCAGCATTTGTGAAGCCCTGGAGCCCCTCCTTGGCACCAGCACCAGGCCCCCTCCCCCCCAAAAAAAACCCAAAATACAAAACAAACTAACAGAGTAGGTTAAACTCAGTAAACAAATCAGTTCATGTGTTTGTGTGATCATCCTACAGCTACTGACCTCTGACTGGACTGTTCACATCCCCGAGGAGGACCAGCCTGATGGATATGAAAATGAAATAGGAAGTTACCTGAGTGTAAGCCAAGTAAATGAAATCGAAATGGAATTACTGAAGGAAAAGCTTCACGAGATGTACCTCCAAGCAGAAGGACAAGAGGTGCTGCCCGAAGAGGTAAGGGAAAGGGTTCCATTCTCTCTTGTGAGGAAAGACAGGCACCAGAGAGGGGGAACAGTTTGTGTTGACATGGTTACTAGTCAAATAATTTCCAGAAGTTAGTATTTTTTGGCACTGATCAAATTACATCTGAACAAATATTTTCATTCAATAAACAAGCATTTGAAAAACACACAAGCATTTGAGGGCCTAACTATGCTGCAAACTGAAACAGGCTAAGGGCCACGCCACAATTTGGTACAAGAAGCTTGGGAGCTTCAATGCCCGCCAGGCACAGGCATTGCCCAAAAAAGCTTTGCAGAGGTCTGTGGGGATGGAGTGCATGACTTCAGTAAGGGTTTGGCAAATTGGCAAAGGAAGAATGATGTTCCTGGTCAAAGGAAGAGTGTGGGGAAAGGCATGAAGGACGAGTTTGGGCCTGAGCAATGGCCAGGTGACCACTGAAGTACGTGCAGGCAGGAGTGCGGTAGGGTGAATTGAGCCTCGGTTTGGAAGGTTTTCTGTGCCATGCCATGGAATTTGGGCCTTCTTCCCCCTAGCAGTGGGGAACCAACAGATTTTTTAATTTATTATTTTGAAGGTAGTAAAATACAACAGAACAAGACAGAACAAAGCCAACTACAAAGACAGAGTAGTGAAATTGGTACAGAACGTCACAGCAGGTTACTGGGATAACAGTAATAGGTATCACAGTATATCTCATTACCTTCACAATAGTAGTTGTTCTTTCAATCACGTATAGCAAAATGAAGTACAGAACATTATAGAACTTATCAAAACAGATTATTGAATAGAACAATACCATAAATCAGAATAAAGCAAAACAGTAGTAAAAATATTTGCCTTCAAAAAGATGGTGGAAGGAAATCCCCCCTATTTGCTATATTGCATATGGTCAACCTCCCAGGAGATGCTCAGATTTCTGGTTCCCATTTGCTAACGGGGGGGACAGGAGAAGGGGGGTAGGGGAAATGGGATGTTTGACTCTAGGCCGTGTACTAGTAGGTTCACTATTGCTTAGTAGGGAGCAGGCTGATTGCTTGGTTTCCCAGCGTCCTAAGTTCCAACATGGCGTGGATCTCAGGAATCATTGGTGGTTCTCCCCCTGGGGTGGCCTCAGCCTGCCACACCACAGCCACTTACCAGGGAGGCGAGCTGCTTGCTTGGTTTCCCAGCGTCCTAAGTTCCAACATGGCGTGGATTTCAGGAGACAATGGTGAGCCAACAGATTTTTTAAATAAAGAAGAACCATAATGTCAGATGTGCCTTTTCAAAAGTGAACTCTTACAGCACTTGGAGGTCAGGCGAGTGGTGACTGACTGGCTAGGGGCATTGGGTTGTGTGAAGGAGGGAGAGGCAGCACAGAAGCCGGCCCCTGGGAACTTTACACCTCGGAGCTGACAGATCTGAGTGCTGAGTACATTACTTGGGACCTGGCACAAGGCTGGAAGAGTAGGAGACGAGGGCTAAAGGGTCACCAGGGTTCTTACATCTGCAGGCTAGCAACAGGCTCAAGTCCTGGTAGGGAACACAGGAGGCAGGAGTCACCTTTGTTACGAGCAAAGTATAAAAGAAACCAATAGTCATAGGACTGTATTCTGGTAAGGTTCAGAGATATTCCAGTCCTGGCTGCATTCAGATTCACGATCACCAGGAAACTGTTCACCTTCCGTTCCTCCTTGGCAAGGAGAGTAGTTTGCTGGTTACTTCATTAAACAGCGGGAGTGGCTGTGTAACATGAAGCATGTATTTCATTTACGCAGCTGTGCTCCTTCCTGGCTCACACGCCTCTGTGAACTAGATCTGATGTTTTAGACAGTGTGGTGAGCTCTGTTAGCCCGACGACTGGCCGCCATTGGTGTTTGTGTGTGCCTGCTGTGGTTTTTAAAGTGATGACTCAGAATGCTCAGCTTTTGCTTTTCTAAAGCCTCTGGCTTTATTTTCAGGTGCCATTAGAACCAGACTCAGTTTTCTTTCTGCTGCTGCTTCCAGAAAGAAGCATTTCAGAGTAAGAGAAGGTAGCCTGAGGCCCAGGCTCACTGCCGAGCCCTCAGTGGTTCCCTCTCCTCTTGTGGGAGCCATAGTTATTTACTTGTTAGTGTAACCAAGAGCAAAGTGTGTGAATAGCAACATGCTCGAGCCAGGATGCTGATGGTAAAGAGGTGGAAGGGGACCTGGTGGTCATGTTTCCATCTCCCTGGCTAGCCAGGAGAGGTGAGGGCCCTAAGGAGCTGGTGCTGGGGTGCAAGGTGGGCTAGAGGCCTCTGTTTCAGGTCCCTTGGCTTTGCACATACAGTGCCGCAGACCTTGGCAGCATGGGGGCTTGGCACCTGTAAATTTCTAACCCTCATTTTCTCCATTTTACAGAAAGGAAATAGGGGTTAGTTGGCTTGTCGCTGGGTCACAAAGTCTCCAGGAAAAACTGATGAATTCTCATTTTTCATGCTTTCTGCTCAGTAGACCATGACATTCTTTCTCATATTTCAGGTGATCAGAATGTAGGTTGGGATTGATTGACATGTCGTTGCAAGGAAGTTGAAGGTCAGCTTTCCCCGTGTGTGGAACTTAACCTTTTCTGAAAGTTCAGTGCTGTATAGGTTATCCATGTTCTTTAGGGTTAGTCTTCAAAGTCAGAGGATTCAATAAGACCACACACTTCAGTCAGTTGAACATGTCATCAATCATAAGACATACCATTATTTTGGTTCCTTTTAAGGCAGAAAACATGCTTATTGTGAGGTATTAACCATAGCAAGATGCATTCTCATTTGAGGTAATAGGATATGCATCCAGGAATCAAGAAATATAATGATTACATTATGAGCACAAGACTGTGAGTATGGTCTAAGACCTGTTTCTGCTCTTCATTAAAACCATAGAGGTAAGGTTGGAAGGCTAACTTGATGACAGTGATCAACAGTGGTAAGTGTGACAGTTCCTGAGACACATTGTGGAGCAGCAGGCCATGCCACAGAGCACTCGGCACCTCTGTTCCTTTCTGTTAGCTTGACGAGACTTAATGATCAACAGTATTATTAAAAGGAGCACACATTGAAATGCACTGTGCTACGTAGCTGCGATCATAAGATGCTTTCCTCTCTAGACCCAAATGGTAGGATACACAGAACATGTCACCAGCTTGGGCCTACTTGCCCCCAGAATTCATTCAGGTGCCACCCAGGTGCCCTCCACAGAGTCCTGCCAGCCCTCAGAGCTCTCTTAGGATCTGGAAGCTTAAAATTTCAACTAGAAGCCAGGCATAGTGGTTCCCACCTATAATCCCAGCATTCAGGAGGCTGAGGCAGGAGGATTGGTGTGAGTTTGAGGCCAACTAAGGCTACATAGTGAGTTTATAGCCAGCCTGAAGTACATAGTGAGACCTTGTCTCAAATGACCAAAGAAGTAATAATAATAAAATTAAAAAGTAAAATAAAATTTGAGCTAGAGAACATTGAGTGGAGCAGAGGGATAAAAAACATGTAAAATATTTGCACAGACATTAAGTTCATTATTGATCTCTTAAACTCTGGTAAAGGAACCACCTTCCCAAAGGCCCACAGGGAAGTTTAGTGAGAAGGGGCCGTGACATCAGGCAAGGGACACAAAATAACACCTTATTTGCTATATTCTAGGATATTTATTGAGCACTTGCTGACCAGGCACAGTTTAGGATATTGGTGTGCATCCGCAAACAGCAGACAAAGATCTTGTCAGAAGAAACAGGTGTGAAAGACTCAGCATTGTGTGGGAATAGTGTGGGGCAGAAGAGGAAGAGATACATCAGAGAGTGGAGGAAGGGGATTGGGGTGGCAGAGTTGGGAATGAGTGTTTGTGGTGGTCAGGGTGGCCTCACTGGGAAGGGGAGCTCTGCGGTAACCTTGAAGGAGGCAGGGCTTGGTCCTGGGCATATCTGGAGAGGGGCAGGCGGGCAGAAGGAGCTGTGAGTGGAGCAGCCTGGCTAGAGGAAGAGGAGAGGAAATGTGTCCTGGGTGAGGTCAGAAGCCAAGGGAGAGCAAGTGGGTCCTACTGGGCCACTTGAGCCCTTCCTCTGGGGGTTGGAACCTAGCAGGCCTTTGCAAGTGACAGTGACAGGACCAAAGGACCTGAATGGTGACACCCTGGGGGAGGTGGGGTGGAGACTGAGATGAAAGCAGGGAGACCCTGCACAGATGAGGTAAGAGATGGTGGGGGTGTGGCCCGGGGGAAGTATGCTGGCAAGGGGACAGGAGGGGCCAGAAGCCAGCTGCCGCCAGGAGCAGTGAGGGAAGTGGCTGAAGAGTGAAGCAGTGCTCGGCCCCTTTTCTGTGGCCCAGTGGACCAGGGTGCAGCAGGCTGACTCTCAGCGGGCCAAATGTTTCGGAGATAAATGTGGGCAGGAAAGAATGTACCCAACTGGTGCTAAGTGCTCTTAGTAGGTCATTTCAGGTCCCCTCCCCAAGACTTCTAGACAGTGTTAGTGTCTTCTTAATTTGTAAACCTAGAAGTCCATGGGTCCAAGAGCTCTAATAGGTCAGATGTCCTGATCAGAGTCACATAGCTGGTTAAGTGACAAAGCTAGGCTTTAGCGTTCAAAGACTGTGTGGTTACATTTCATTATTTTTCAAATATTTTCAGTTTTCTATCTCTACTTCCTTTACATATAAATGTGCACAAGCCTCCTTGTCCTGTTTTTGTTTTTTTGACATAGGGTCTCACTGTATAATGCAGGCTGGTCTTGAATTTGCTTTTGTAGCCCAGACTGGTCTCAAACTCACAGTGATCCTCCTGCCTCAGCCTCCCAAGTGCTGGGATTACAAGCATGTGCCACCACACCTAGCCCTCCTTGTTCTTAATAATTTTTATTTACTAATTGTTTTTCAGTGCTAGGTATTCTCTACTACTAAGCTACATCCCTAGTCCCCCAATAATCATTTTTTAAAAGCCTGCTTTGACTCTTTCTCACCCCAAGCTGTGAACACCTCTTAGGTACATTGATTGTATTTCATGTTTTCTGCAGAGGGAAAATGTGAATTGTAAGGCACTTGTTCCTATTGGAAAGAATGCGGATGGGCGTGGGGGTTTGAATGGGGCAGTTGGTGAAGGAGGAGCAAAGAGAAAAGAAAGTGCACAATGGAGCAGAGCAACTCTGAGGGACTGTGGAGACCATAGGGCGACAGAACAGGGATCATAGGTCCAGTTGCCAAGTGAGCTGGCCTGGGAGCAGGCAAGGAGGGCTCTGTGAGGGCCAGATGTCCTGGAAGCCAAGCCAGCCAGTACCAATGGGCATTGGTGGAGCCTTGGGGGCACCAGACAGGAGCAGGAGACTTTTGTTCAGTGCTCCTGATTATTGATGCATGCTATGAATAAAGTCATTGGTAGGGACTTCCTTTCACATTTGCATGGGTTCTCAGTTACTACTCAAAGCCCAGGCATCTCACAGGGACGTGCGACTGGCCCGAAACCCCGTAACTGACAGCTCCAGTCTACCTTACTAAGCACTATCAGTTCCTGTCCTTCTCTATACCTAGCTGTCTCTCTCGGCTTTCCCTAGTCATCCTGGGCACAGCCTCGCCACCCTCCCCCACTCTTCCTCCCCTGACAGCCAGCATCTGGCTGCTAAAGTGACTTACATCACAGTAGCCCAAGTGCTGGCTGAGGTGCCACCTCACACCTCCCTGTAAGGAAGGAATCAATCATGTCCCTTTCTAGAGTGTAGGAGCTGACAGTCCATTAGGGGAGGGCACTGCACTATTCTTCATTCAAGTTTAGAGAATCTTGACTTAGCTTGGGATTAAGTCAAAAAATATTCCCCATACCCCAAAATGTAGTAAGCACAGTGACCAGTGTGGGCATTCTGGGATAAGCCTAGTGAAAACACTTCCGTGGTATTACATTGGCACCTTGTATTGGGTTCATTGTTGAGAGGTATATTGCTGGGGGATCCTGGAAAAAAGTATAATCTTTAGACATGGCAGTTCAGGCAGAGACTATTAAAATAGAACTGGATCAGAATTAGAACTGCCTTCCATGTCTAAAAGCAGATCCTACAAGGATGACACTTTTGCAAAGTAACAAATGTGCCAGGTTAATTACTGCAGCATCATTAGAGCAGGAGGTTTGAAACATATTAAAGTATGAAACATCCATAATTGAAATAATATTTAGCCATTAAAAAGCAATGAGACGCTTCTTGATAATCTCCTATAGAAGAGATCAGTTGAGGAATTCGTGGTATAATGCCACTTGTATTTTTTAAAAAATGTCCAAAGATACACTTGCATATGCATGCATGCAGTTCCCGGGAAGAAGCACAAAAGCATCATTATGCTCACCTTGGAGGACAGGAGCTGAGTAACTAGGGACAGGGTTTAGAAAAGGACTTAATTTTGCCTTGTTGATTTTCAAATTATTGCCTGCACATTTACTCGTATTAATTTTATGGGCATGAATGTATACTTAACAGTAATAAACGGGCAAGGCCAAATTCAAAGTGAAAGGGCTTCATTTTTATGTATGTACATACATGTACATACAAATGTAAACTAAAACCCTTCATATCAATTCAGGAAGATCTAAAGCAAAGGAATTTCAGAAGACAAGCAAACACCTCTTTTACAGTTTCCTAGGCCACTGTCCTGTGGCTTGTTTGGTTTGAGCGGAGACTGCCTTGTTTTAAAGGGCTTATTTTGTTTTCAAACCTAAACCTGTGTGTGGACAGATGCCCGTAAGGCAAGGTTTCTATCTCTTGCTGGATACATGAGCAGCAGCCAGTCCTCTGCTGGGGTAGGACGTACTGGGGCTGGAACCCAAGGCCTTACGCATGCTAAGCATGTGCTCTACCACTGAGCTACTCCACCCCAGGAGCCAGCCTGGAAGCTAGTAAGCTTTTAATGGGAATTAGAAATCTGCTCCAAAAACTGTCCTAAACTGTGCTTTGTATGATTTCCTCTTACAGATTTCAAGTCGACTAGAAGTGGTGAAGGAATTTCTGAGAAACAATGAAGATCTTAGAAATGGCCTTAAAGAAGATATTCAGAAGCTAGACAGCCTCCATCTACAGCATCAAAAACCAGATTCAAAGGAAGCTGGGAGACAGACACCTGAAAGAAAGGCCTGAGCTGAGTTTAGGCATGTGATGTTTTTCGTTTTTATGAGATAGGGTCTCACTATATACATGCTGGCCTTGAACTTGTGGCAGTGCTCTTGCCTCAGCCTCTCGAGTGCTGGGATCACAGGCATGCACCATCGTGCCCGGCGGCTTGTGATGTTAGATCAGGACAGCATGGCTCGCCTCTTTGATGTCTGTTCTCTTATGGGAAACCATGGTGGACACACAGGAGTCTCACCTGGCTTTCTTACGTCCTTGTCATTTCCAAAGCCCTCTGATCTTTAGTGATTCAGCATCAGTTCCCTGGCAGGTTTGTTTAGCCAAATATACCTGAGGTCACTCAATTGGTTTTAGGCGAATCAACTTTCTATCATAATCAAAAAGCATTTTTGCCCTTGTGCCCCAAAACCATGCTAATGATGCTCTTCCTGTGGCATTAATAGCAACTGGCTGGTTTCCTTCAGGAATACAGTTAGCATAAGTAACCATCTTCAATGTTTACTCTTTTCCCCTCCAGTGCAGAGAATGAAAGCCTTCCCTTTCATCCTAAGTTGCACTTCGACACAAACGAAGCGTGTGCACACAGGTCAGCATGGTTTCCAGCTCAGGCATCCTTTTCTATGCAGAGGAGGAAGTTTCCAGAGTACTATAGCCAAATAACAGGTTTTTCTTGTCCCAGACTTGCCTCTGAATCTTCGGGGACAGTTTTGTCATAATCATAATAAACTTGGGGTTGTGTAACATAAACCAATCAGAAAACCCTAGCTCTCCTTGTGCCGTCACTCGCTGTCTCCTGAGGGCTTCCTGGTGTGCCAAGGGTCGGGCCAGGCCTGCACCAGGAACTCACACGGACCTCTGTGCCCCTGGCAGGTGTGGCCTGTCCCTGCTACCTGCTGCCTGAAAGCCTCCCATGTCAGGACCTCGGTGGAAGTGTTGGGCTAGAAACCCTTCCTTTTTGGAAGAAGTCAAAAGGGAAACATGCCCAGAAGGCAAGTTTCTAGCCATTTCAGCTTGAGATAAACAAAACTGTTCCTAGCTGGCTTGAGCCCCCTGAGGCCATGGGTGGGGCCAGGTAGTGGGAGGTCACTGGGACCTCAGGGTTGGGCATGGTGGCTGTGTACGTGACCCTTGGGAAGTCAGGTCCCCAGCAGGCAGGCTCAGACTGTCTTTGTTCATATCTCCAGTGTGGAGCACGGGGCCTGGCCCGCAGCTGGTGGTGAATGTTTGTTTGGCTGAAGATTTCATCTAGGTTACTAGGAGTATGTGTAAGCGTGCATGTTAGTTATACTGTTAACTAAGCCTGGTCCTCCATTATGAAATTTAAGAATGAAACTTCTCAACATTCTTATGGAAACTCATTTTCTTTTAGCAGTTTCACAGATTCATTCATATTTCCTTTCTTTTACCCAGAAAGTATTCTGCTTCTGACTTTGTCAGGTTTGTTCCTGAGTGGCAATATACACTGTCCCATGGTGTTCAGTGATCAGTGGGGTTGGCCTCACTGGCGTCTTCCCCTCCCTCTGCTCATCGCCAAGACCACTTGTACTAAAGTGGGTCGGGTCATCTCTGAACTTTTGGTGACAGAATCACCTGGATGAAATGCTGCAGGCAGAGCCTGAGGGAGATGGGTGTACTTTGCCTGTTTACTGGCCCACAATGGCATCGTTGGAGAATGGGCAGAGGAAAGGGGTGTATATTTCTACCCCACTTGTCTCAAAATGCATTTCAGCTAATTCTGTAATCCAGAGGAGCGCAGCTGTGCCTGCTGTCTCCCACTTCCCAGTTGCTGTTTGGTCTTTAGTCTGGCGCTTGTGTACTGCTGGGGATCGAGTACGCTATGCCACTGCTGAGCTAGAACCTGCCACTTGCATTTTCTTCCTCCTGTTGTTTCATGAAGTTCCTTGAAAAGACTTCAGTAGTGAAGTAAGAATTTTCATACATCTAGCAAACTCCAAAACTAAGAAACTTGGATGAAATATCTCCTAGCTTTTAGATCCAGGATCTAGAAAATGTGGGAGCAAATAGGATCTTGATTCACTAAGCAACTTAAAACCTGATTTCTAACTTTAGAAACTTTGGAATATGACCCCTTCGATTTTATACCTGCATCATTCATTTTTCCTTCTATCCAGCAAGCACTTCTCAGATGTCAACCATGTCGCAGACCCTGAAGTAGATGAGAATATAAGGATTTGGAAGGTATGGGTGATAATGTATGGGTTGTCATTTTACAGGTTTATTTATCTGTTCTATTAAGTCAAAGGTATTGTTCAGAAAGCTTTATACTGGTAACATTTAGTTACATTGAAACAGAAAAGAAGACATGGCTAGAGAGGGCATTAAAGCAAATGTAGTGTATACAGAGAGGTCAACCTATGAGCACTTATTTGATGTCATTGTGCCCATGGGTGCCGGGGGCATGTACAACAGCATAGTTAACCAGCTATTAATAGAGAACCAATGGAATAAAGTGTAATGTCAGCTTTCAGGATGTTATGCAACTGTTAGAAAGACTGAGGCGATACTGCTGTACAGCAGTATGAGGTGATCTATAAGAAAAGCAAGGCTAGGGGTGTGGCTTGGTGGTAGAGCACTGCCACCAAAATTAAATGCACAGAAAACCAAAATGTTTAACTGTGCATAGCATGTTGTAATGCTATATGTATTTTATAATAACTAAGGTTTGAAAATCTTTTGGGGCTTGGGGTAGTTATAAGGAATTTGACTTCTTATTTTGTGTACACTCATATGACATTTTTACAAATGTGCACTCGTTTTTGTAAATGGGAAAGGGAGGAGAGATTAAAAGGAGGGTAGGGGAATGGGGAAAAGTCATGTACAAGTACAAATTCTCTGACAAATATGATCATTGTGTATATCTAAAATGCACCAATAAAATCTGTTGGAAAACAATAGATGTGCACTCATATAGTCTAAAGTTTTTACAATTAAAGTTATTATTTCAAAATAAAGAGAGGAGCAACGTAAATTCAAATTACAAAACCTCATGGTATTTCCTGTAATTTTTGGTCTCCTCTAGGGTAGGGTGAGCCCTCCGAATCATGGGAGGAAGCCCATCAAGCATGCTTCTTCTGCCTCGAGCAGCCTTTGGTTCACTGTGGATCCAGCAATATGATCTACTCTCAGCCTCTTCCTGGGACTCAATATGTATTTTATAGTTTTGGAAAAAGTCAAGAAAAAGATGACTTTAGCCATATGGCTGCCTTTGGCTTTATCAGGAAGATGGGACAGTATAAAACACCTGAATTCTGGGACATGACTAAAGTGTGTTTGTGACCAAAACTTCTGGAAAACTAGCTCTGCTAACTCAGAAAAAGTTACTGGCTTCGTAAAGTTGTGGTAGAGACCTGTTTTCAGTTTTCAGTTGTCAAGGTCAGAATGGATAGTGTTTGAACATTTGAGGAGATTCTGAAATGATTGTTATATGATTCAAAAGGCTCATTTTTTAAAAAATATTACTCAAATGGCTTAAACAGTAATATCTAGGCAGAAAAGGGCTAGATCTCTTAGTTGAGTGGCTGTGTTTCAAAGAAGTAAGAGTAGCATTGCATTAGAGTGGAGGTGTTGCCAGCTTTTGAATGTTTTTTTCCTGATCATTTTTACCTCTAAATTATAAATGTAGAGTGATAGGAAATTATCAACAGCTATTACCTCACTTTCCCTTACCAGGTTAATTAGAAGAAACCTACCTGCTCTGAAATATCAACAGACAATGGCCTTTTATTGAAATATATTCACATTTTTAAAAATACATTTTGTAAGATATGCCTAAAATAGATGAATCTCTATGCATGTAATACTCAGTGAGGTGAAAACATATCCTTAGGGTTGGGGATTTAGCTCAATGGCATAAGCACCTGCCTGGCAAGTGCAAGGTCATGAGTTTGATCCCTGGTACCAAAAAAAAAAAAAAACCCAAATCTTTAATGTTTTAATAAAAATCTTAACTCATTTTATAACTTTAGGAACTAGTTTTTATTACTCCACTGTAGTCTGAATTATCTGAAGTATTAAGAACTACTATTCCAGAAACTTCTCAAACCCATGTTCCACCATCCGCACATTAGTAATGCCACACAACTGTAAACCAGGCATTTTGTGACACCTTTGGGAGGGTGGGCAATGACCTTACACGCTTTATTTATTGCTTGATACTGAGTATCAGAAAGGTATGAAAATTCTTATTTCAGAACCATGTATGGTAACCGGCCTCCAAGGGGCTTCCTGATGATCCTTGCTCCTAGCATTTACAACTTCATGCTGCCCTCCCAGTATGTAGGGTGGGTCTGTATGGACACAGCACAAGTGGTGGTAAGTCACTTACGCAAGAGGACTTCCATCTTGGCCTCTCTTGGAATGTCATTCTGGTGAAAGCCCTGCTGTGTTCCAAAAGCCCACACGCAAACAACTATAGAGATAAGTGAGCTTGGAAGGCTTGGAAGCAATTCTTCCTAGCCCAGACAAGTCTTCAGAGACTCCTTCCTGACCCTCAGAAATTGTGACACCAGTTGTTGTTTCAAGCTATCAAGTTGGATGACTGCACAGTCACGTATAATAATATTATGCTTCTAACGTGTCCCTCACCTGCCAGCCCACCCGCAAGTGCGGAAGGTGAAATGGAGACTGCCCACTAAGGGGACTAATGCTTAGATGCCACGGGAACGTGAGGAATCTTCTGGAGTTTTCTGAGATTTGCATTAGTGGCTTTGTATTTGAAATATTTATCAAAAGAAGAGTTAAGCACCTCGGAACACACACACTGGGTTTCCCAGTAACCATTGTGGACCTTGCCCAGTCCCCAGCGGCAAAGATGTGGGGAAATTGGGGTACAGTCCTAGAGGAAGCCTCTGCCCTGGAGATAATGGCCTCATTCCTCAAACCCTACCCTTCTTTCCCCCTTCTCATACTTCCTGCTTTAAAAAGTCAGCAGTACCCGCAGGATTCCCAGAGGAATTTTGACCACTGACCCTCAGCCCCCAACTCTTGCTGCCCTTCAATACAATGCTAGGGTTAAATGTGCGCTACAAACTCTCTCTTGAAGGATAAGAAAAGAAGGGAAACGATTTTGTCATTTTTCTTTTCTATTTCCTTAGAACCCAGGGTGGACAGCAGCCATTCTCTGAATTGTTTGTGCTGTTTCCATGGCAGATTCTATCACTACTCTCTGTTACCAAGACCAAGATTCTCTTAATGAGTGCTTCTTAAAAGTGTAACCTTGACTTTACTACATTAAGTTAAATCTGCCAGGGAACATTTCCCTCCATACACACCTCCTTTGGTATAGGGATTTGTGACTGTACCAAATTTTAGGTCACATTAAAAATACTCCTTTGCCCTGGACACCAAATGTGCCCCAGAAAGCTAAAAAAAAAAAAAAAAAAAAAAAAAAAAGCTATGAGTTAGTGAATACATTTTCCCATTCAGCCTTCCTCCCCCTTGGTTTGACTGCTGGTTCTCAGGTCCTATGCAGAGAGAGACCAGCCAACCTATCCTCACCCAGAAAACTCCCAGTACACGTAATTAAGCGACTCGACAGCCTCGGTTTGATGCCCCTTTTTTAATTAAACTGCAGGTTTCAAGCGGGTTCGCACTGTCTGAGAGTCCAAACCGAAGTTTCCATCCGTGGGTCTGCAGGAGGCATAGAGTTCAGTCCGAGCTCGCCCGCTGCACAGCGCCACCCCCAGGCACTACGGGGCTGCTTCCTGTGAGGCCACAGGACTGTCCCTGGGGTCCACAGCGCCCCAGTAGTGGTAGCGCAGGTAGCGGCTGCCCTGCATGCCCTGTGCCACCACGTTGGCGCAGTGGCAGGTCATCAGCAGATAGTTTCGAGGCTGCACTCGGTAGGCGAAGCGCATGAAAGCCAGGGAGTATAAGAAGAGCGCTGTTGTCATGCGGCCACTGATGATGTCGGGCGGCTTCTTCATGTCATTAAAGGCAGCCAGCGGCAGGCCCCAGTTGGCCACAGGCCCCCAGAAGTGCGTGCTGGTCAGGTAGTCTCGGAACTCCTTCGTCTTCACGTAGGATCTCGCCCTCTGAAACAGTGTTCCCACGCCCGCCATGGCCGTCTGCCCAGTGGGAGGAGGACTAACAGCCCGCCTGCCAGCCCACAATGCCTTCGAGCGTGGAGGCCAAACGTGCCGCGTGCCAATGCCTCGCGCCTGTTGTTGTCTGTCGTAAAGCGCTTCGGACTGCGCATGCGCCGTGGTCATGTGCGGCAGTCGTGATAGGAGGGCATGGCGTCGTTCTTTGGAAGTGTCCGAAGCATGCTGGTGTGCAAGTATGCTGTGTGTGCATTCTTGTGCCAGAGATAGAACCACAGCCTTCACTTTCATCCCTCTGGTGCTGCGGCCACTTTAAAGCTTTTGGGGACTCCACCTGCCACCCAGGGAGGAGAGCTGGTGGTAAAGGTACCCTTTCCCTCAGTAATTCACAGATACTCAGGGTGAGGAGCACTTTGATGGTGGTTATTGTGTTTTCCACCAGTCTTTCACCTAATCTACTGATGAAAATTCTTCAATGACATTAGTGATTATTTTCCCAATGTTTTCTTTTTCCAGTAAAAACAGCAATTAAAAATAATTGTAGAGGTTGGGGATATGTTTCAGTGGTACAAGTGCCTGCCTGACAAGCACAAGGTCCTGAGTTCAATTCCTAGCACCAAAAAAAGTTATATTAATTGTGTATGCTTTCAAATATTAATACTTTAGTGATTTACAAACAAGTTTATTGTAGCTTTAAAGTTAATATTCATTATCTGTATTCATGTACCTCCCAAATATTTTACAGATAGCATGTAAAAATAGAGCCATTGCTCAAAGGAAAGTAGCATAATTTTTAGATAACTTTTAAAATGCTGGATTTCCAAATATCATGGCTATACTGCTACAAATCAGTTCAGTATAAGTTTGAATAAACAAATCAGCAAGGATGTCTTGAATGGCATTTTAGGCCTACACAGCTACATACTTCACCATCCTAAAAGAAGTGTAAGCTGTTCCTTTTTGTAGAAGAGGCTTTCAGTACTTGTAGATCATGTACAGGTCATTACTTGGTTTTGATTACTTATGGCTCTGTAACCACCTCAAAACTTAAGTGGCTTAGAACAACAACTTGATTTTACTCAGAAATTTGAAAGTTGAGCAGGACTCAACAGGGACACCTCATCTGCTCCATGTGTCACTAGCAGAGTGGCTCAGCTTGGAGACAAAAGGTTGTTTTCCAAAGGCTCACATGGCTGGCAAATTGATGCTGGTTGGTAGTAGAGAGTTGGTGGCTCAGTTTTTCTCCACATGGGACATTCCACTGGCTGTTTGGGCTTCCTGACAGTAAAGCAGGTGAGCTTCAAGATCAAATATACAAAAGAACCAATCAGAAACTATGTGTTCAGTAGAATTCTAAGATGACACCAGTGTCTAAATTACTTTCTTTTTGCTAGGACAAAATATCCAACACCCAAAATTAAAGAAGGAAAATATTTATTTATTGATTGATTGATTGATTGTGTTTTGGAGACAGGATCTCACTCTGCAGTCCAGACTGGCCTTGAACTCACTTTGTCAAACTTGCCTTGATCCTCCTGCCTCAGCCTCTTGAGTGCTTGGGATTATAAGCACATACCACCATGTTCCACCAGGAAGTTTATTTTAGATCACAGTTTCAGAGGTTTTAGTCCATAATTGACTGACTCCAAGGCAGGATGGCACATGAAAGAGAGGTAACAGTTCATGGCAGTGGAATACAGCCAATGCAACAATGGAGAGTAAGTAGGGACAAACCTTTCTGTTCCTTATGCAGGCTATCAGCCCTAAGTATATCACTCTCATCCTTAATCCCAGCACTGGACCACAAACTCTAAATTCAGCCACCTCTGAATGTCCCCCCCACCCCTGCCTTCATGACTTCATGAAGCTTTGAGGGGATATCTAGACACAAACCATAACACAGAGCAACTTCCTTCTGCTTTCCCTTTTATTTCTAAATGCAGGTTACAAGCCTTCTGGTTGGTGCTTTCCGTATCCTGGGATTTGACATGAGAGAGATTCTTCACAGCTGGGTTAAAGGTGGAGGCATCCACTTGACCAGGAATGCAGGCCACTCCCAAACTGCTAGCCAGTGAGGAAACAGATTTCAGTCTCAAAACCATAAAGGACTGAATGCTGCTAATAACATGAATGAATTTGGAAGCACATTCTCCCAAGTCTTCAAGAAGTCAGTCTGGCTAACACCTTCGTTTCAGCCTTGCAAACTCAGCCTTGCTTGGCCCAGAATTCTGACCTACAGAGCAACTGGCCAACAAATGGGCACTAACAGCTGGGCATTGACTTAAGCCATAATGCTTGTGATAATTCTTTGTCCAGTAAAGAAAACTAATGTAAGCTATTTTGTTGTTTTTGTGGTGCTTAGGATAGAAGCCAGGGGCTTGTACTTGCTAGGCAAGGGCCCTCCTGCTGAGCTATACCTCCAGCCTTTTAATTTTCTTTTGAGACAGGGTCCTGCTAAGTTGTTGAGGCTGCCTCCACCTTTTTCTTTTTCTCCCTAGGAAATTTTTACTGATAAATGTTTGTGATACATGGTATTTATATTCATTTCAAGGAATTTGTACAAATATATATCTTGATCATTTTCAATCCCCCTTTTTTTCTCCCTTGCCTGTTCTCCAAAAAGTCTGCCTTATTTTACCCTTTATTTATATTTTGGATTTCTCATATAAGAGAAACCGTGTGATTTTTAACTCTCTGCATCTGACTTATTTTACTTAGTATCAATTCAAAGTCCATCCATTTCTTGCAAGTGAAATGAATCGCTCTTCTTTATGGCTGAATAAAATTCCATTGTGTGTGTGTGTGTGTGTGTGTGTGTGTATCAGATTTGCTTTATGCATTCATCTGTTGATGGCATCAAGGCTGCTGTGTAGCTATAAACATGGGTATATATGTATCGTCATACTATCATGCATTTAATTCTTTGGGGAATATACCCAGCAGCGGTATAGCTGGGTCAAATGGAATTTTAAGCTTTTAGTTTTTCCGAGGAATCTCCATACCAGTTTCCTTAGCAGCTGTACTAGTTTACATCTTCACCAGCAGTGTAGAAAGATTCCCTTTCTCTCACATCATCAGCACTTGCTGTTTTTTTTTTTTTTTTTTTTTTTTTGAATTCTTGATCATGGCTATTCTGAGCATGTTGAGGTGGATTTTCTCTCGTGGCTAAAGATGATGAGGATTTTCTTCATGAACTTACTGGCCATTTGTACTTCTTTTGAGGTGGGTCTATTCATTTCATTTGCCCATTTTTTGATTGACTGTTGGTCTGGAGGGAGTTAATATTTTTTAGTTCTTTGTATATTCCAGATATTAGTCTTCTATCAGAAAAATAGCTGGCAAAATTCTTTTACATTCAGTAGATTGTCTCTTCACTCTGTTGACTGACTCCTTTGCTGTGCAGAAGTGTTTTAATTGTTGGTTCTTGGTGTTATTTCTTGTCCTATTGGAGATCTAGTCAGGAAGTCCTTACCTGTGCCTGTGGCTTCAAGTGTTTTTCTTATATGATCTTCTAACAATTTCAAAGTTTGTTTTTATAACCACATGTTTAATCCATTTTGACTTAATTTTTGTATGGAGTGAGAGATATCCATCTAGATTCATTATTTTTTCTGTGTCTTTTTGAGACAGAGTCTCACTATGCAGTTCAGGCTGGCCTTGAACTCACTTTATAGCCCAGGCTGGCCTCAAACTCACTTTGTAGCCCAGATTGGCCTTAGACCCACAGTGGTCTTTCTGCCTTAGCCTCCCAAGTGCTGGGATTACAAGTATGCACCACCATGCCCAACCAGGTCCAGATTCATTCTTCTGCAAGTGGATAACCAGCTTTCCCAGGACCATTGGTTAAAGAGGATGTCTTTTCTCCACTACATGTTTTTGGCCCCTGCCCTGGTTACTTTTCTCTCATTGCTGGGACAAAATACCCAATACCCAAAATGAAGGAGGGAGATGTTTATTTAACTCACAGTTTGTGGAGGTTTCAGTCCATAATCATCTGGCTCCAAGGCAGGGTGGCTTGGCACTGGGGCAGCACTTCAAGGCAGCAGCCAGCAAAAGCAGCAAGAGGAAAAGCGAGGAGAGCAAGCCTCTTCTCCTCCCTTATATTATATGCAGGCTACCCCCTGCCCCCCCGCCAGGGCAGATATAGCACTCACAAAAATCTATGCCCTCCTCTTGAACAGGATGAGTACATTTATAAAATAAGGATCCTGGTTCCCTGCTGAGTCTCTTAAACTTCTAAACTTCGCAAGTTGATACAGTATGTCAACCATAACAGCCCCTTTGTCAAAGAGTCAGATAGCTTCTGGGCATGACTGTGCACACCTGTAATCTCAGCACTTGAGAGGCTAAAGCAGGAGGATCACTGTGAGTTTGAGGCAAGCCTGAACTGCATAGCAAGACCCTATCACAAAAAAAAAAAAAAAAGTCAGCTGGTCAAAGGTGCATGAGGTTGTTCTGCATCTTCCATTGGTCTCCGTGTCTGTTTTTTGTGCCAGTACCATGTTGTTTTGTTACCATAGCTTTGTAATACAACTTGAAATCAGGATTGTGATGTCTCCTGCTATTTTTCTCCCCTCAAGATTACTTGGCTATTCTAGGTTTCCTCTGGTTCTCTATGAATTTTAAGATTTTTTTCTAGTTTTGTGAAGAATGTTGGTATTTGTGTAGGGACTGCGGTAAGTCTGTGTATGACTTTTGTTTATAATGGCCTCAGCTTCCTGAGTAGCTTGAGATTACAGGCTTGAGCCATCACACGTGGCTACACTACATAGGTCTTTATGGACCCAGCCTCAGAAGTCATGCATTTCACTTTCACCATCATCAGCCTCCTCAAATTCAGTGGGAACAGATACAGACTCACCTCTCAGAGGCAGGTGTGTCAGTAACAAAGAAGAGCATACAGGATGCCAAGTACTGTTCCCATTTCAAGACAGGGTTTTACTTTGTAGTAGAGTGTGGCCCTAAACTCACTATGTAGTCCAGCCTGCCCTTGAACTTGTAACGATCCTCCTGCCTCAGCCTCCCCAAGTGCTGGGATGACCAGCATGTACCACCATGCCAGGCTGAGATGAAAAATATCATGGCAGCCACCTTTGAAAAGTACAATCTACCA